GTATTTAAAGAAGCTCAATCTGACGTCTTCGAATTTCAACATTAAAACTTGACCTTGTCCATACACTCCAAAGAATAAGTACTAAATGCGTGTTCATCAATTTAAAACCAAAAAATGGTATTCATGACAAAAACTTAGCTATCAAAAACGGATAAGAACACACACACGCACACAAAAACGACACAGTAATGATAACGATAAATTTAAAAAATACGACTATATCCACACTTTAATACTTGAAGTGAGATCACTATATATATAATGATATCTGTGGTTCATATATGTGAGCACAACAAGAACAAGGGATTTCGCGACGGCTATTCTTGGTGCTACAATTATTTCAGGTAAACACAAAGCTTCAGAGACCGCCAAAAAAAAAATATCGCCCGGATCTCTGCAATAAGTCCCCCAAAATAAGATAAAGCTGCTTGCTGAGCTCGGAGCAGCGGATTCCAGAAGTAGATGGAAAACTTTGCGACGCATTGATTTTCAATAAATCTTTCGCATCAAGGTGGGCACAAATTATCTTCCTCGCGAAGCATTTTTTTTCAAGCAAAGATCAGTAAAAGAAGGTTTTCACGCAGAACTGCGGAAATTCTGTTTCATCTCGTGTGAAAGACCCTGCAGAGGTCTTGGAATAAGGATATCTCGTCCATTTCACATTCAAAACCTCACGAATCGGAATGGAACATAAAAAATTTTCCATTTTGAGCAGGGAATTTTTTGGCATCATATGCATTTCGTCAGATTCTCGGGTTCCCTTTTCATCAAAAAAATTGTAATAGAAAACCATATATTTTCAGAGAAACCCCGTTATTTATAGTGCCCGAGGAAAAGCAGTAACAAAATCCGTGCACTACTTCCCAATAATCCGATGGAAGCATCGAATGACACGGAAGCCATTTCAGCGATGTCGTCATTCCTTCCCATTCCTTTGAAGAAAGTCGTGAAGATTTCGCCATTTTCTTCACCCGAAAACTCGAATTTCAATCTTCCAAACAGGAAAAATCATAACCCTTTTCAAGATATTCAGAAAAACTGCGAATTGATTTTACATATAGAAAATCGTAAAAGATTTTTACAGAGCGCATCGTACTTATGGATGATCACAGAAAAAGATAATATTATTTTTGAAAAGAAGCGTTCGAGGTAATTGTTTTGGTTTCTTCTCGATGTGCATTTGACGTGATTTGAATTTTACCGCAACCCCTGCGTTATAATTCAGCATTTGCTAAAACAAATACTTCAAACCTATTTATTTGAACCTGGATAAAGATCCGGAGAAGAATCGTCAATATAATAGAACTTCATGCATTTGATGCATTCGGCAGCATTTGAATTGCTGCAAAATTTTTAAACCTACAACTGATGAAAACTAGGCATGCGAACTTTTTTTTACGCACCGAAGAAATGTTTTTTTTACAACTCATAGACTTGTATCTTGGTTATAATTGAGCGGCGAATTGTTTCAAAAATATTTTAAAAATTAGGGCTAAATCTCGTGAACCGTTCGTCGAATTTTGCAAATCACAGTTGAGAAGAGCGAAAGAATGTTTGTTTGGTTTCTTGACATTGGATATTTGAGAAGATTCTTTCCTCGAAAAGATAGTTTCGAGCATATTACTTTGGGATTTCAGGATTTTAAAATTAAATTAAATGATGCTTGTATGTTCTCAATTCCTCTTTGAAACGAGCGTCACGATGTTTCCGTTCTTTTATACCATCACGTTTTTCATCAAGAAAGTCATCCGCAGACTAGAAAACTCAGCACATGTCGCAAATGCTGAGAGATACAATGTATCAGATTAGGTCGTATACATACTCGTGTATATGTATTGTTTGTACCCGCCATTTCCGTTGATGCGTATGCACATAAAATGCATGACGCGGTTTTCTATGCAGTATAACAAAACCGAGTCGTCTCCGGTTTACTCACAAGACGCAGTTTTATTTCTTCCAGCATCTCAAATTACATTCACCCACGACCACGCGAAATGAACCTGCAGGAATAATCAGTTTCTTCTTATATGGGGTGAAACTTGATTGTGTCCGTGACTGAAAGCAGAAGGAAGGACGCTTATTGATTCAGACCAGAAGGAATTCTTCGTTTACCAACGACGAAGCCCTTTCCGGAATAATGCCGCCCTTCGAATCTTCTTTCCTCTTTTTTTTTCTTACATTATTTTTTATTTATTTTTGGAATAAAAAAAAGGAGAACCTATAGGCGGCCCAGGTACTCGGGCCGACAGTCTTTGTCATCGCAGGGTTCCCGTGCATCTGCGGCGGGTTTCCCGGGGGAGGGGTTCTCTTCCTGAGGCGAAAGTGCGAGAACGACGTCGAGACGCCTGGATTATGCATGAATCTCCATTGTGTCAACATGGGGGCCGAATGACAATTGCATTTTCTCCCTCGTCCCCAATTTCGAAAACAGCTACCCATCACGGGTTCCCCCGCCCCTCGCTGATGTGACGTGCCAACCGCATGCAAACATCTCTAATGTTTCGCTGAATTGATTTTCCGAAATGCGGAATTCTTGGGTTGATGTTTGTTTCGTGATGGGAATGTTACGTAATAAGGGACGATTAGGAACGCCAATCAGCACATAGCAAGCAATTTTCTCTCTGCTTCGGGCACTTCATGCGAGCGAATTTTTGTACGGTGTTTGCAGAATGTGATGAAACGAAATGCTGCACTTCAACATACAGCCCAGCAACATCTCAATGATTGATGAAAATGAAATGTTTTAAAATGAAATTATTTTTCTATAATTATATGGCCTCCGCGGGAATTGTTATAAGCCTGTTGAACAGAGTAAATTATGCATATTGACTTGACAGCGATGTCTTAGAATTGGAGAAAAGTTTTATGATCACGTCAAGTAACAGGAAAGTTCAACTTTTCAAAGACGTGTACGCAATGCAAGGAATGTAGCTCAACATTTTTCAATAGCAATGCAAATCACCCTGAATATATTATGCTGGTATAAACGTGATTTTCAAATCGTTCGCTCCCCTGTCATGCACATCGACTTCACACCTTATTCATATTTTTTGCAGACTTGTTTAAATTCTTCACCAGGTCATGCTTGATAACCATAGCAGCACTCATATAGTGACGTTTCAATTTTGCACGATAAAAAATCAATGTAATGATCTTTTTTCTTGTCACAGAAAAGCAAAAAATTAGAAGCTTTTTCAATTCATTTGATGATATTTTAAAGGTTTTTTATGGTTCATGAAAGTATACTCTCATCTGTTGCGTCACATTCAGGCTGCTGATGGGTCCCGATGTTTTTTTTTTCAAAATTATGCCTGAAATTCTTCATGATGGGAGATTGTTTAAAATTCTGTTTGTTTTTCGCACACTCTAAATATTCTCATCCTACATACTGCCATTGAGGAAATTAAAATTCGAGCATTGCTAGGCTTAGCGTGAAGATGAATGAATAAGAAAATCGTGAGGTTTGCAACATTCGCTTTTATCTCAAGATAGAAAAGAAATTTAAGGTTTTTAATTCAAGATTCTTTTTTTCATTTGTTTGATTATCAGGAAAGAACTATACAGTTCATTGTTTGAACCAGAGACTTTTGGTCTCATCAAGTCCCTTTTGATTGAAATAGCACAAAAACCTATAGGAACGATGCTGTTTTTTCAAGTTAGTTTCCTTCATACCTCAATAGTTTCGTCTTCTTTTATACTGTCGAAGAAAGTGTTCATTTTCATTTTCATTCGGTCAATCGAGTGTAGAATTTGAATGAAATATGGAAAAAATCATCAGCTTAACAATCTCGCATCTAATCCCACGCAGACTAAAGATCTGACGCACTTTGAATCCAAGACCCCTCTTTCTTTCCTTTTTTTCTCCTCTTGACGCGTCATGAAAGAGTCGTTACCTTTTCTGCCACAGGCTCGAGGGTTCTTGGAATTTTTCGTAAAGAGAACCCAATAAAAAAAAAAGAAAACCCGGGCTATGCAATAATGATGTCGACCGAGGCCAAATGTCGAAACCTCGTTGCGGGTCGAACTTATCCCCGCAGCCATGGCTCGGAATCAGCGAACGTTGCGTGGCTTGAGCTCATCGATCATCGACTGAACGACAGGCGAGGCCCGAATTTCAAAGCCTCGTACGAATTCCTCTTCTTCACCGATTTCTCGCGAATTTCATCCACCCTCCAAAAAATAACGCAATCCACTCGTTCCGCGGAGGCTCCACAAAAAGTTTCCATCCATGAGTATTTTCTCAAAAGCAACAAAATTGACTTTCATGATGTTGACTCCAAATTCCTTGGAGGCACAAGGGACAGGATTGATAATTTATATAAAGAAGAAAATAAACGATTTCCTGGTTACAGCTAAAACTCAATTAAAATGCAATATTTCCAAGTTCGATATAAAATGTATTGTGAAGATTTGCACAACACGAGATTTGCTTGATTGAATAAAAAATTAAACACCGAATATGCTGACAAAAACACATGTTCCTTTTGTCATGCAGGTGTCAGGAAAGTTTGAGTAAGAAGAAGCTTAGAGGAATTCTTTATTTTTGCTGGACCTCTTATTGTTTACGAATTTTCAAGTCATTTTGTTTTTGTTTCGAGGGTTTAGATCTTGTGATATCTGGAATTGATTTCATCAGTTCCGACATAATTCACTTGTCGCGCACATGTGATGAATTATTGTGATTTTGTCAAATATTCGAGATGAATTTCTGAGAAAATCGCATAAAACAGTCTAAACTCTAAAGAAAACCATTGGAATGTCATTTCAATTTTTGTTTAACTCTAAACTTTGCTTTATGATCATCAAAAGGTTTCCACATTTCGAAGCATGGCATCTTTTTGGATGGTGCCCAAATGTGGGAAATTCCAGCTACTTTTAGGACAATTAGAATTGGTTTAAACACGAGTCACATACTTCGTTCAACGCAAACTTACTGACACACGAGTCACAAGTTCAATCAACGTTTTTTTTAGAATAGTAATCATTCATTTTTCCCAGAATCAATCCTGTCCTGTCATCATGGCTGGTCGGAAGAGTTTATCTTGGCTTTGAGGTATCTTTTCGCCGAATGCGGATATATCTCTTCGAGTGAAAATTGAAATAAGGAAATCCAGATGGTTTTCGCCAGGGGATTTTCAAAAATCCCCGGCATTTTCTTCAGCAACCATTTGTGAATAATTCACTTGCCTGATAAACCGCAGGGTGATGGAAGATTTATGATGCTCATGGATTGATGGGAGCGAAGTGCACCCAGCGTGTTCGGGTTCTCAGCCTTCCTTCCTCTCAATAACTTAACACTCCAATCCAAGGGATTTTCAAGAAATATCGTTTTCCGATTAGTACGGATTTAAAAACGGATCCCATTTTTCTTGATAAGCTACAAATAAAATATTCCCCAGTGAATACGACAGTTCAAGTTAAATAAATCTTAAGACGTTGCAGAGGAAAAATAACGACAACACGGAATTCTATGTTTCTGAATTTGTATCTTTCCAATTTTTTTAAAAACCTGAATGAAGCTTCTTAAATACATTTTCGGGGATTTAGAATTAAAATCATTCTTTCCTCAGGAATACTCTTCCTCATAAAGGTACTGATGAGTTTCTGAATTTGTATCTTTCCAATTTTTTTAAAAACCTGAATGAAGCTTCTTAAATACATTTTCGGGGATTTAGAATTAAAATCATTCTTTCCTCAGGAATACTCTTCCTCATAAAGGTACTGATGTATATAGAAAAGTTTCGTTCGTCCGATATTTGGAAATTCCGCAATATTGCTCTTTCATGAATGAACATTCAAGTAACGCGAGGGATCTTACGTCAAATGTACCGAAGGATATTAAAAGCCTCGTTGTCGAAAATTACTTATATTCCGAGACGATAATTATTCCTGACATTAAATTATGCCGTTCGGAAGCACGCGGCCAAAATAATTAAGATTGATTAAACAATTTTAAGCTCTTTCACTTCGGATGAATCAAGCTTAATCGTCTACGCATTATTATATGAACGAGCACTGAAACATTGTGCTATTTACGAACTACGGTCTTAAAAGTAAAAAATTATCATTGAAAATTAATCTCATCAAATGTTAGAAATAAATTTTTAAAAAAATATTTAGAATCTCTGTCGTGGAAAAATTCCAGCACCATAAAAATCCCAGTGGAGTTATTCCTGTAGCTAAATATCGCTTCCCGAAAAGGCCAAGATGGGTTTCGATTATTTAAAAACAACTGCGAGTCGAAGAACACCTGCTCGCCAAACAAATGGCTTTCTATTCTGATGATCATGAAAATGATATTCATCCTTTGAACATGGCGACATCGTTCTTGTAATCATTGATAGTTTGCTTCTAAAAAAAGGTCTTGAAATACGCGCATTTCCTGCTATCTCTATAGTTACAATTCTGATGGGTCGCGCCAAGATTAGCAGTTTTCAGGTTTTAAAATACTGTATGCGATCGGTGCGAATATAATTACGATTACAATATGTCTCGAAGGAAACTAAAATATACTGTATCCATATTTATGTGATGAAAAGGAGTAAAATTTCAGTCCGTCACGACCAGCAGCTGGTCCATTCTAACCCCTTTTTGCGCTTGTTCGAAAACATTTTCTTCGGTCATTTTTTCGGGCAGATTTCTCGACCCGAAATCTCAGCGAATTTTGATTCGCGCGATGATCGAATTTGCTCACCGGGGCCGAGGAAGCTTGAATTTTTGATACTGCGCTGAATATGAGTTGGCCCTTTTTCCCGCTGTTCCACTACACTTTATCTTCGGAAATTCATTCGAGCCCGCCGGGTTGTACCCTAATGAATTCAATTGCTCACTTCTGACGTGGGTCAACGTGGATGGCTTCTCATGCATAATGAAATGCTTCAGTGGATTGTCTTCACTCGGCAACGAAGAAGCCAAGTAAGAGGATGAAGATTTTCCCGATTATCAGTACTGTAATATTGCAGTTGTTCCGTCGCCAAGACGTCGAAGACGATAAGAACCTTCGATTATTATTTGGGAAGAAGGCCTTGGAAGGTTTCCGATTACCGAAACAAAATATGATATAAATACTGTATTATTTTTTCCCGACGTTTATAGATTATCATGCACTTATCAGGCTTGGAGTGCAATTTATTTTTGAAACAAATTTTTGGCTTCTTACATAAACTCAATAACACATGAAGAGTTGAAGACTGAAAGAAAAACTTTCTGATACAATTTTATTCAAAATAGCAAAGATTCTCTCTCGTAAGCTCACTAAAAATCGTGAGCGAAATAATTATGGACTTCATTCAGAAAAAACCAATATAGGCACTAAAAAAATAAACTTTACTTCACTCCTGAACTAGTTTAAAGTAGTCACAAGTACCAAACGTGAAGGTACGTTTACTTAAGTTGTACATGTGTCGAAGTTTTTAAGAATCAAGTCGTTCATATGGGCAAAAAGAAATTTAAATAAATTCATCCCGCAATTGTGTAGTTTATTTGAAAGAATTGAACAAGGAATTCAGAATGCTGCACCTGTATTTTTATTATTTTGGAGCATCGTTGAACGTTTTCAAGTATCGAACTTCAGCAAAGAGTCTTCCATTATTCAAATAAAACGCGCACATTTCAAAACCTACTAAGTTAGTATAGATGCCTCAATTGATACGACGTCCTTTGTGTCAAGCTACGGTATATGCTTCCCTTCCCAAGTTTGATCAATGATTCACGTTGTAGGTGGCCTGGATTGCTTTAGGAAATGTTATCTCCTTTTCTCCAGCGGGTCAGGAAACCCTACACACATCTTTCTGAAATCCTGCGGTTACACCAAATCCAAATGCTATTTGACTCACTGCATGTGCACCTGTCTTTCATGAGGACAGGACTTCTTACGTCCTTCTTTCTTGGTGAGAAAACCTGCAGGTGCTATGGAGAATGCTGTCTTGTCGTGTACGAAAAATAATATAAATAGGTGGTGCAGAAATCCATAGTTTGGCAGGTGAGTCTGGACTTTGAAGACAGGAAATTGATGGACGAAGGAAGAAAGAAAAGTTTGCCGCCCAGAATAACCATTTGTGTATTCCGAGGCACTTCCTGGATGAAGTTGGACACCTGCATTGTATCTTGGGGTAGAGATTGCCGGAAATAGATTCCAGAAATCAATGTACAGTATACACAGTCTAATAAAAAAAATTTAATCATGATGTACTGTATCATGAAGTTATTACGGTACAGTCAAACCGCGATACGTCCTTCAACATTTGTTTCTGAGGTTTTGACGATTTAACGAGGTTACAAGTTCGAGGGAAAGTGGTGGTGGTTTGTTGAAATGTTAAAAATATTATGAATGTGAAGTATAATTGGAAATTAAATCCGTACTCTTCTATAAGACAATCAAAATAACGCAGGAATTTTTCAAGTAAATTATATCTAGCTATAATGTACCCAAATAAAATATAAATTCTGTAATCTTTGTTCTTATAATTGCAGACATCTCACGAAAACTCGAATATTTTTGGCTGACAGAAGCATGTTTAAGGCGTCAATAATTTTTGCGGATGCCATTTAAGGGGTTTCTAGAATGCTTCATCATTAGGAATTTTTTTTTCAAAATAATTGGTAGTTGCTGAGGGTGGCGACTTATCGGGACAGGGTATNAATTGATGGACGAAGGAAGAAAGAAAAGTTTGCCGCCCAGAATAACCATTTGTGTATTCCGAGGCACTTCCTGGATGAAGTTGGACACCTGCATTGTATCTTGGGGTAGAGATTGCCGGAAATAGATGCCAGAAATCAATGTACAGTATACACAGTCTAATAAAAAAAATTTAATCATGATGTACTGTATCATGAAGTTATTACGGTACAGTCAAACCGCGATACGTCCTTCAACATTTGTTTCTGAGGTTTTGACGATTTAACGAGGTTACAAGTTCGAGGGAAAGTGGTGGTGGTTTGTTGAAATGTTAAAAATATTATGAATGTGAAGTATAATTGGAAATTAAATCCGTACTCTTCTATAAGACAATCAAAATAACGCAGGAATTTTTCAAGTAAATTATATCTAGCTATAATGTACCCAAATAAAATATAAATTCTGTAATCTTTGTTCTTATAATTGCAGACATCTCACGAAAACTCGAATATTTTTGGCTGACAGAAGCATGTTTAAGGCGTCAATAATTTTTGCGGATGCCATTTAACCCCAAAGATCTTACGAAGTAGTAATCCTTAAAAAAAAAGTTTTATTAACCATCAACGACTCCCACCGCTGAATAGCCCTGTCCCATACTTAAGAAACAACTTCTTTAATTGTCATTAATTGATAAAGTATCATTTTCGTTTCATCTTTGGTTTTTTGGCTTCAAAATAACCCATGAATATGGTGCTTTATATTCGGACTACTGAAGTTCACGATTTAACCCGGATACCATGAAATTTTCTGGCTTTTTCCGAAAAGCGAAAAAATATGCGTTTATTCATGAACAATTTTCGTCTATGCATTCGGGATCTGGTCGGAAATTGAGCATTTTCGTTCGTATATATCTAGTCACTATGGATAAAGTTTTCCAATTCACACTTGAGGGTCGATGTCTCATCCCAACGGTGCCCCGTGGCGTCCAACTTTCCAGGGTCACTTCATGCATATGAAAGCAGGCTCAGTCAGATTTAGGCAGAGGAGAGATTTTCGCAGAGGGTTTTGACGATGAACGTTTCAAAGAAAACAGGCGCTGAATATGCAATATTTGCGGATTTCTAATGGCCTGGGTTGGAGTTTCCGAAGAATATTCGCGTCTTGAACTTTCTGAAGTGTAGTCGTTGGGGGTTTGAGCAATCATGGAACTTCAAAAGGGAGCCTGGGTAATTACAAATGGAAAGACTGGAGTGGGCATGAATTCCATCTATTCCTCATGAAATGGCTGCTGCGACCCTTTCAATGTTTGTAGGTCTCATCCAATTATATTTCGGGCAGATTGCTTTCAAGCTTTTGCTTTGATGGCAAGCATACTCCGTAACGTCCTCGGCTTGAATTCCCATCAAATCGTTTCTGAAGGGCCCTTGAAAATGTTTTTTTTTATGGAAGAAAAGTTAAGCGACGTGAAGGTATTCATGAATTTCCGCGCGATTTAAAAAAGGGCTGACATTTTCGAAGGGACGTTTCTGTGCTTCACGTTGACGTCTGTCAAGAAGGCCTTGACTTCGGTAATACCTCGACATAAAAATCGTCACGATCAATACAATCAATAGAATTGAAAAAAAAAATTGCAAGGCCTTCTGCTGCACAGATTTTACTCTTTTCAAATTCTCAAACGAGAAATGTTTCTTCAGGAACACGGGCTTGTTATATAACATTTCCTCGTCTTGTCGAACAACTTGGCTATTCAAAAGCGGAGATTGGATTTCTCAATTTTCGAGGAAATTTAATTACAGCTGTGATGTGCAGTATTATAGTGCTCAACAACAAGAGAACAATACATAACCTGCCGGTAGGTTCCAGCATTACTCTTCATAAATCGAGCCTGTAGTAAAAGTACTTGAAGAGAGTCAGTAAAAATTAAAATTTCGGATTTGAAAGGAATTTCTAATCAATACAAGATATTCGACTTGAGTCGACTCCAATAAATTCGACGTTATAAGAGCGAAGTCAAACTTTTGAATTCATGAAAAATTGTAAAATAAATTTAATTCACCAAATGATGGAGCTCCATCATTTTTCCATCGAAAATCAATCGGTAACTTTACAACTTTGAAACTAATGTATCATTAAGAAGTTACAAAATGGCAGTATATACGTGTGTCCTAGTCTTTTCTTGTTATTGTGGCCAGCGGGTGTCGATTTTATGCATTTCGGCGACGCATATAAAATTGGAAAGGAAAAGAAAATGAACTAACCTTTGACAGCATTGAGCTTGCTGCCCATCATTTGCTTGGCCACGAATGCCGCCATGATGTGGGTTCTCTAAGATCACTGTAAGATCGCGGTAGGTCACAGGCCGGTTGTTCGACTGACTGCTTCCTGGCAGAACGGAACAAAGAACCATTAACCGGAAACGTTCCACGGGAAACAACAGCACGCAACACATTTAATGAAGAGACGAAGGGAACAAACGGGGTATGAAGCAAACAATCAGCACTGCACACTCGGGTTCGTGGGTTCAGCATCAGCGGAGGGGGTTTCTTCTTTTTTTCTGGTTTGGCAATAAAAGAAGCGGGAGGGATGCAAACCCAGGGGTTCAGCAGGATTTATTTCCAGCACATAATCAACACGTTGCACTCGCCGCTCATCTCAAACACCGCATTGTTGTTTTTTTTTGCGCATGTATGGATTCTTCTTTTCGTGTTGCAATTTATCAGCACAGGCAGGCTAGCATCGGGGAACTGCTGCGTTTTCTTCTCATTTATTTTACAACAACGCAATTTTAAGCAGGCTAAATCACTTATTCACTACCTCATGCAATTTATTTTTATGGCGTGTTGAATGAATGAAAAATGGTTTGCATGCAAAATTTAAACTCGGTCACGATGCAGAAATAATACTGATTATTCAAAATTTGGCGAGTTCACCTGTGCTAATAATAGTAAAAAAGCATCGATCCCCCGTTTTTACATAGTGTTTACTTCATCTACCCGCCTTATATAAAAAAGTTTTGATCAAGAAACAATATAAGCATTGAGCACACCGATTCGGGTGACATCTACTTGGGAGTTCGTGCACAACAGCAAAGTACGCATCCTCACGAAGGGCTAAGCAACTACAGTACATCACAGTGCAAGAAGAGCGGAATGCACCAGCATGCTCAAACATGTTTCAAAGTACATTACTGAAAGTTCATCAAAGCGAGGGCCAAGAAAGAAGTTTGCGAGTAAGTAAAGTGTATGATGAGGTTTTTATTCATATTAGCCATTTGAATGTTGAAAAATACGCCACGCAATTTCGTGGATTCCTTTCTCAATGTGTGAAAAATGAATTCGACCATTTCAATTTGCAAGCGAAATGATCAGATTTGATTTACTCTCATTCATACAGGATGTAATCGAAGGCAAGTGAACAAGGGACTGACGTCTCTAATTTCAATTAAACACACCAAGGAATAGGTCATATTTCGGATCCCATTGATAATGTTTAAAGCATATTGAATATTTTTCCTGGCGTCTGTATCATAAAAGCTCACTGATGAAGCTTAAATAGAATTTACATGTTCCGTAAAATCGTATATGCATTGGAGTACAGTTAAAATGTGCTGGTCCAGAAATGTGCTGGTCTTTCCGGAAATTTGCAGTGTTATATTATATGTCACATTCGTATAGTTTCCCATAGCTGTTTGAGTAGCAGTGTTATGAAGGATACTCAGGATAGTTGAAGGTTGCACAGGGTTGTTCAGAGACTCGTTTCTGTGGACTAAGTCCAGGAAAAAGAATATAAATAATGGAAGTAAGCATCCCTTAGGGACATGGCAGAGAATACGGAAAATAACTGCATCCACAACGTCGACGAACCCGCATTTTGCTCTGCTGCGCAGACATGACAAATGGCAGAGGCTCGGCTTTGCAAGAACATTTTCGCGAGATTTTCCGCCACTGGGCCATCTTTCTGCTCCATCCTTATTCTTTTCTTCTCTTTTTTCGAGACACTAGAGTGGTTCTTTCTTCGGAAATCCTTGGATGAGAAAGCTTCCGAGAGAAGCAAGGAAGTTTTATGGAGGAAATGCGGGCGAAATCCGGAGCTTTTATCTAGAAAGCACAGTTTCTCCGGGTGTAATCTTTGTGTACCCCTGAGAGAAATACAGGTAGTCTTCTTTCACGATCAGTCTGACAGTTAATTTCACGTTTCATATGACTGAGAAGAATGAGCATTCGATGAAACATTTTCGGAATCCAATTTAGCTCAATGTTCTTTCGAACCGACTCTCCTGGGATTGTTTCGCGTTTTATCTGCAGTTTGGCTCTTTTTCTGCTCGGAAAACCTTTTGGGAAACTGCCGCTTCACGCATCGTAAAACTTTCTCGCAAAATTTTTCGTTTCATGGGTTGTTGAAATCTCGAGTTCACTCTTCCGAATAGTTCATACATTTTATTTATTTTTAATTCATATTGCCTGATAATTATGTTCATTTACTTCCATACAAGTGTCGACTCGTGTTGAACATTCGTTCTGGTTCGTGCTTTTTGTTTTAAAGGCGCTGCCGGAACGATTTTTAAACGCTTTGAAGCGTAAAAGATTCCTTATTATGAAAATACTGTACTTTTCAGGCAATAAAATGTGCACAAATGCAGATGTTTGATCCGATTTCCTTTTGAATTGATGAAAATGAAATTTATTATATTTTCCTTGCAATTGATCATTATTCTTGATTCAATATTAGATAAGAGGAATCCGCAGAATTTCATTTCCAGCAAGAATCGAGGTTTTCCCTTGTCCTCGCCAGGAGGGAATAATTTGAACAGTTGAAGAAATAATTTATTGGCAAAAATGTATAGGGGGCACATTTTCGGAAGCCTACGAAATTTTGTTTTTCGTAAAGCGATGCAAATAAATTAAATACATATGAGACATGAAGAAAAATTCGAAATAAGCAGACACATCTTCGGTAGCAAGAATCATTAGCATGTTTTTGAAAAATGCGGAATTTCGTGACAAAAAAATATAGCACTCCTTCAAATAATTCAAGAATAAGTAGACACACTTCCAATCACGTGATTCACTTTACAGAAAATAAAAAAGGAGATAAAGTGGTCATCTTCTAAATTATTCTTTCATTAGTAATTTCAGAGATGATGATCTTTTGACAATTTTTGAATCACTAAAAATTAATCAAACGCATTTTCGATGCTGCTTTTGCTTATCCTTCGTGAGTGATATTCAAGCTTCGGAGTAGGACGCCAATTGTCAAGAGAGTTTATCGATTGGGTTAATTATAAAATGATTAATTATACGTGTTACAGAAAAAAATCTTCCTACACGCGGAAATCGGACGCTTTTCATAAATATTTTGAGTTCATTCCGCACTTCATTTTTCCTTTGAATCTTAGGCCTTAGTTTGAAAATCTCAAAGACGTTTCCGAGAAGACGAACACGTGTTCGTCCTAGATCCAAAAACCAGAATCTCTGCACTTTCTAGCAAAAAAACATAAAATGGAACCCCTGGGAATTTCAGCGACCCAACCCGTCAACAGTCACTTAAATGAGGGAACTCACGGCATACACCGTGAAATTGGGCAAGTAAACTACGACCATCGTCATTAGCACAATACAGGGAACTTTTCCCCTCACTTGTTGTTCCATATGCTGACAATATAAGTCGACTTTATCAAGGACTACCCAACTGACCAACACTCAGCTGAAAATTCTGCGTCACGAATTTCCTAATGCCTCTTGTCAACACGCCTGCTCATCTCCCGTAGTTTACTGCGTAAGTTAGCACGTAGTTCGTACAAAAGGTGACCTCACTCGTCTTGAAAAGCTCGTCTTATGCTCTAGTACCGGCCAAATACGTGACGTCTTTGCCTGCTTATTCAGACTGAGACGAGCAAGTACGCGGAAAAGTTCTTCAAAAAGATTCAAATCATCCCTATATACATATAGGCAAGTTTCTTTCCGCTTTCCCATTTTGGGATGCGAATGAATAGCGAAAAATCCGATTACCCTATGGAAAATTGGTTCTGCTTTTCCGTGGATGACTGGTTTGTCAAGTTCTTGAATAGTGATATGCAATATTTTAAAAACTGAAAAGTATTGATGATTTAAAATATTTAAAAAGCCAACTCTAAAAATAAAGCAGCAGCAAATGAGCCCTGGGCAATTACCCAAAATTCGATTAAAAATATTTCCCACTCACGAAAGCATAAAGCTGAAAAACAAAATGCGCCTTCTCTTCTCATTCACAAACTTGAAATATTTTAAAGCTTTTTTGTCCTCAAGATTTCCTAAAAGACTAGTATGCCCACCTTAATAAAAATGTTAAAATTTCCAATTCAAATTGATCACAATTTGATGCTTTTTTTGAACTCACTGTTCGTCCAAAAAAGCATCAAAATTTCTATTAGCTCTAGCTCACTTTACTTCGGAAATATCACCAAAACACGCATTTCTAGGGGAACACATGAGGCAGAAGAAGGTGGAAATGTTAAAATCAAATTAAGGCAGAAGAAGGTGGAAATGTTAAAATCAAATTAAAATACCTACACGAATACAGCGCGCAAAACCTCGAAGCAAATGCGATCAATTCTGGGACTTCTATCAAGTATATATCTCACCCTATTCAAATCTGCAAAATTATTAGTTTTTTTAGGTTCTCGACATTTCTGAAAATGCAGAGTACGCTTAAACTTTATTTAAAAAAAACGGGAAGTGAAAAATTCGCAAGGAAAGCCGGAGGAAAGAAAATGCTAATTCTCGGTGAACGCAATAAATCTTCCTAGAAATGGCTTGGGAGAATATAGTCAGGCCTTTCTGGAGCCA